CCCCAAAACCCCAAAACCCCAAAACCCCAAAACCCCGAGGTGATGGTTTAGAATTGAATACGATCGATATTAGTTTAGAATAGAAAAGAACAGTGAAATTTCAAGTTGAGATTAGAAGGATTTTAGATTGGGAATTGAGGAAAGTACGATTTTGAAGGGAGGAAGGAGAGATAGGAAAGGAATTTGGGAGAGTGAATTTTGAGTTAGAAGTTTGGATATTGAGGTTTGTAGGTGATGTCGCAAGTGTTTTGGCCGTATTTGAGTCTGATATGGCCACTTTCTCCCCAATTTGATCCCCATGAGTTTCTAACGATCCAAGCGTTGTCTGTAGGATTGTATCCAACGAGAACAACGGCATGGTTCATATTTCTTCCGCATTGGGATGAAGTCATAACTCCTTGTCTATATGTAGACCAAGTAGAAGCATCAACAGCGATAGAGATAGGTCCACCTCCTAAGGCACTATGCATAGAAGATTCGCTTTTGGATACTGATGTATATCCCTTATCATTTTGTGTTCCGCTACAGCTTGAGCTTCTGCATGATCCCTTTCTTCCAGTGTATTTATATGAGCCTTGAGTACAGAATTTATGACTTTTCATGTAGTTCCAGACAGCGTCATACCATCCTCCATTACATCCATAACTTGAAGAAGAACAGTCAAGAGCTTCTTGCTCAGATAACTTAGAGATAGATCCTTTCTTAACTTGGTATCTTCCTTCAAAAGCTGCGGTGGCAGAGAAAGCCCAGCAAGATCCGCAACTTCCTTGGTCTTGAATGGATTTCATTTTACTTCTCCAGTCGATCTTGCTCAAGGAGTCTGAGGTTTCAGTGTACACATCTCCATCAGAGTCATCATTTCCAGAGTCAACAGCTCCCATTCTTTGCAGCATCTCTTCACCAGTCTGGTCTGCAAAGATAGTAACTCCGAATTCAGCCTCTGGGTTGAGCTTATTGAGTTCATCTGCCTTCTTCATATTGTCTTCAAAGATAGCTTTCCTGTACTCCATCTCAGTTTGGCTGGCATAGTTCTTGCCATAAGTAGAGATAAACTGCTCAAATTCAGCATCGTAAGATAATTCAGCAGGGCTATAGGCTACATAAAGTAGACCTAATGCAGAGATCAATGATATGATTGCAATAGCTTTCATATTTAATTATATAAACTTAATTTATTTAAAATCTTATAACTCTTTCTTATGAACATTTCTACTTTATTCTCTCAAAAAGGGGTTTTGGGGTTTTGGGGTTTTGGGGTTTTGGGG